AGGAAGGGTGTGTGTGAGGGTAACGGTGGTGTAGGGTCTGGGCATGAGGAGGTTGGGGAGCATTTACCTGGCTCTGGGCCTCCTGACATTCCCAGGTACCACCCACCAACTGCTCCCATTGGCCATGATTCCGGCCAATAGGAGCGGTTTGGAAAGCCTCCAGATGAGTGGTTTCCTGTTCTGCCCCTCCCCCAGCCAGGGCGAAGGGAGCAGTAGTGGATGAAGTGGCTGGATGCAGCCCACAAGGCCCACCTCTTCCCCCAGCGAGGGGGGCAGGGGTTGACATGGGGCTGGAGCACCTGCTGTAGTGGGGGAGGGTCAAGCCCTGAGCCCGTGGCCCATCTGTAAGACAACCGTAGATCACTACTGCTCCACAGACCACACCGTGAGAACCACCAGCCTAGAAATCACCGGAACTTTGCAGTTACCTCTCACCATCATCCTTCTCCTCAATTGGCCAACGCAGACATGAATTCCGACCGGATCCTCCCAGGCATCTTCAGCCCCAGAAAATGGCATTTGTGCACACACACACACACACACACACACACACACACACACACACACACACACACACACACACACATGACCCTCTATGACATCATCTCTTTTGCTTTATTTTTATTAGATTTTCTGCATTTCATTACAAGCTTCCACTTTCTAACACAGAGAAGCAATTTACTGGGACCAACGCATCCCCCACTGCCTTGCAAAGAGGAGAGAAGCAAGCTAAAACAGGGGCTAAACACAGGGGTCTGCTTAAATGTGTAGTGGATTTTGTACTTTGGGCACTATGTCAGTGCTCTGTGTGGTGGGTCAGAGCTGGAGGGAGGGTGCGGGAGCGGGGTGGTGGGTTGGAGCAGAAGGGAGGGTGCAGGAGCGGGGTGGTGGGTCAGAGCTGGAGAGAGGGTGCGGGAGCGGGGTGGTGGGTCGGAGCTGGAGGAAGGGTGCGGGAGCGGGTTGGTGGATTGGAGTGGATAGGAGGGTGCAGGAGCGGAACACCCTCTTCATCCAGGGTCAGGGTTTACATACCCAGAAAGAGAAAAGAACCAGTGCTGCTCAGGAGAGATCAAATCCCACCCAGCTGATTAGCAGAGCACCTACAGCTAGGTCATTTTTTTGGTTTCTACGTGTGGTGCACATTCACACATGCCTCGGTGCACACACAATTATTCCACACAAGGACAGACAACATTACCGGGCACATTAGCTCACAGAAATCTCTACAACCACTGTGCTGGCCTGCTCACTGTGCTATATGGAGACAAGACAAGACGTCAACAAATCCACACAGAGTATCCCCATTTCTCATTTAAGATGAGACTCCAGGGACATTTTCAACTTAATTTTGGACTTTTTTGCCCAAATCACCCAGGTCACTCTGAAAAACTCAGATTTCAAAGGTATTTAGGTGCCCAATGGGCGTTTCAAGAGCGTCTTCCTGCCCAATACCCATCTTTTACTTGGGACCTAAACAGCTTTCAAAACCTGGCCCTTAACTGTTGTCTAGGACTTGCTTGATTTTTGTAGGCAAGTCACGTATTTAGCGATGGCTTTGCTCAAGGCTTCCTTGAACTCTCTGTTTCTCAGGCTATAGATGAGTGGGTTGGCCAGGGGGGTCAGGACCGTGTAGCAAAGGGAAAGCACTTTTTTCAGGATTCTTGGCGTCTCGAGTTTCAGGAGCGTGTATGCAACCAGGATGGTCCCGTAGAAAATAGTCACCACAATGAGGTGGGAGGAGCAGGTGGAGAAGGTCTTCTGCCGCCCAGTGGCGGATGGGATCCGCAGGATGGTGGCGATGATACACACGTAGGACGACACGGTCAGGAGAAACGGAGGCAGGGTGAATACACAGGCCATGATAAAATCCAGCAACACCATCAGACGCTTGTCCCCGCAGCCGAGCTGTATCAGCGGGACGGGATCGCAGTAAAAATGGTCGATTTCATTCGGGCCGCAGAATATCAACTGGGACATGAATAACACAAAGACGGCAGTCGCCAAAAACCCACTTAGCCAGGACCCGGCAGCCAACTGGACGCAACACCTGTTATTCATCAGAACTAAATAGTGCAAGGGCTTGCAAATGGCTAAATACCGATCGTAAGACATGGCCGCCAGGAGGTAGCATTCGGTAGAGGCCAGTGCACCAAAGAAATACATCTGTGTGAAGCAGCCATTAAATAAAATTGTCCTGTTCCCGGTCCGGAGACTGGCCAACACCCGGGGCAGGAGGGTGGAGCTGTAGCAGGTCTCCAAGGAGGACAGGTTCCCTAGGAAGAAGTACATAGGGGTGTGGAGGCGCGGATCGGCCACCACCAGCGCCACAATGAGGGTGTTCCCAGCCACGGTGGCGACGTAGATCACTAGAAACAGCAGAAAGAGAAAAATGTTCTGGTCAAGGAGACCCCCGAATCCCAGGAGAATGAATTTTGTCATGTCTGTTTGATTGCCCCGCTCTGGGTCCGCCATGGGTTGAGACTAGGAAGACAAAACAGAAGGTGCATCAAACCAGAAGACCACAGAGTTCACAGATAGTCAAGTGTCGTCCGTAAATGCACCAAAATCTCCTTTTTCCTCATAAGAACATCAGAATAGTCAGACTGGGTCAGACCAAAGGTCCATCCAGACCAGTGTCCGGTCTGCCGACAGTGGCCAATGCCAGATGCCCCAGAGGGAGGGAACAGAACAGTGATCCCATCCAATGATCCCTCCCCTATCACCCATTTCCAGGCAAACAGAAGCTAGGGACACTCTTCCAATGGTTAATGGCCATGGACCTCACCTTCATGAATCTATCTACCTCTTTGTTGAAGCCTGTTCAAGTCCTAGCCTTCACCATATCCTCTGGCAAGGAGTTCCACAAGTTGATGGTGCACTGAGTGAAGAAAAACTGCCTTTGGTTTGTTTTAAATCTGCTGCCTTGCCTACTGACCAGCCCTAGTTTTGGATCTAAAGAGAGACCCGAGGGGCAAATGTCTCAGGCCCAGTCTCCCCAGTCTTTATCGTGAGGGCTGGGGAAAGAGGCTGGGTTTGCAGTCACCGTGGCTGGAGCAAACAGGACTCTTCTGGCTTTGCGCGAGGTGGGGAGGGGGCAAAGGATCCCTGGGGTCCAGTATGCTTCCCCCCTACCATGGTCCTGGGACCGAAGGAGCTGTCTGCCCCGGTCACGGTCAGATCGTCTCCAGGGCCGGAGGGGCATTTTCTCCCAGCTTCAATCCTGCAGCCAGAGGATCCCTGGCCCCTGAGCTGACCCCCCCGGCCAGGAGGAGTTCTCACACCCCCCCCCCCCAGGGGCCTGGCTTGAGATGGGACCCAACGGAGCACACGATAGCTGTAGCCCAGTATATTCATCCCTGCAAAGGCCGCTGGGATGCAAATTGGAAACACAAATAATCCCAGTTCTACACACAAAATTAGAAGCACAACCCCCCAACCCTGTCCTCACCTCCCTCTGCCCCTGCTCTGTCCCCTCCCTGCCTCTTCCCCAAGGGGGCCTGGGGCAATAGTGAGGCCAGGACCAGCAAGAGGAGGTGATGAGGGGCGTGCAGGAACGGTCCCCATTCGCTTTACTCCTCTGGCCTTGTCGTTCCCTTTCCTGTCCTCCTCCCGTCCCGGAGAGGGGTTTCAGCAGAGCAGAGCAAGCAGGTTTGTCTTGCCTTGCTTTCCCCACCATGGAGGGCTGGACTTCTTCTGGAGGCTCTATCTCCCAGCACTGGCTGTTGGCCAACCCCTTCCACGCATGGTGTTCGGGGACATGTGATTCCTTGTACCCCTCCACACATCACCCCTGCTTGCTAGCCCTCACAAACCACACCATGGAGTCATTGTGGAGAGGTCTCTGACACCATCCACTCAGTGCGTAGGAGAGTCAAAAATATATATATTCAAAGAAAGCTAGGAACCTTTAGGAAAGGCCAGACCGGGGTACGTCTAGACTGCGGCACTATTTTGGGATACCGGAAATAGCTATTCCACCTCTTTTGAATCTGTTATTTCAGAATAGATTTGGAATTAACGGGCTTGCTGTTCCAATGTCCCTGTAGCCCTTGCTCCTCGAGTTTATTTCAAAAAGCAGTTTATTTCGAAAGTAGGCCAAAATAAGATATGCAAATTGCGTGTCTTCCTTCGGCCTGCGGGTGCAGTGTAGGTGTACTGTACCCATGATAAAACAGAACCCATCACACACCCCAAATACTGTGCGTGTCCCCATTTCTCAAAGGATGTATATGAAGGAGAGAAGTTACGGCAAAAGCAAACGAAAGTGATTAGGGGTACATCTACACTGCAAAGGTATTTCGGGATACCAGAGGTATCCCAAAATAGCTACCCCACGTCCAAGGAATGCGCCCGTTATTTTGAAATATTTTTCAAAATAACATACATGCTATTTCGCTATCCCTGCAAACCTCATTGGAGATGTGCCGAATTTTGAAATAACCTATTTCAAAATAAAATCAAAATAAGATATGCAAATTCCATACTGCAAATTGCGTATCTTATTTCGAGTAGAGTGCAATGTAGACACACCCTAGGAGAAGAGAACCCCTTTTAAAGGACGAGAGATTGAAAAGCCTTGGGCTGTTCAGCTGAAGGAGGAGATGACTAAAAGAGGATATGGAAGTGGTCAATACAGTCATGGCTTGGGTGATGAAAATCAGTGTGGAAGTGTTGTCTACCCCTTCACATAACACAATCCGTAGGGGCCACCCAATGAAATGAATAGGCAGCAGGTTTCAAACCTACGTAAGGAAGTACATCTTCTCCTGATGCAGAGCCATCCTATGCATGTTGGTGCCAGGGTGGGTGTGAAGGTCAGAATTAATAAAAAAACATTGATATGTTCCGGGAGGATAGGTCCATCAATGGGACGTCCGGGAACACAACATACACAACGCCATGCTTTGGATGTCCCTAAATCTATAACAGAGAAGCTGGGAGTGGACAAAAGACAGATCATTTAAAACTCCCCTGGTTGGCTAGTTCCATCTACTGCATCTGACATTGGCCATCTTCAGAGAAGACTTCTGGCCTGGATGGACCTTCAGTCTCCTCCAAACCACCTCATTCCAGGTCAGATGGACCTTCGATCTCCCTCAAACCACCTCATGCCAGGTCAGACGGACCTTCAGTCTCCCTCAAATCACCCCATGCCAGGTCAGACGAACCTTTGATCTCCCCCAAACCACCCCATGCCAGGTCAGACGGACCTTCAATCTCCCCCAAACCACCTCATGCCAGGTCAGACGAACCTTTGAGCTCCCTCAAACCACCCCATGCCAGGTCAGATGGACCTCTGGTCTCCCCCAAACCACCTCATGCCAGGTCAGATCAACAGGAATGAAAATGACAGTTTGTTCTTCGGGTACTCAGACATTGACGCAACATATCAGCAAAACCGTTCCTGTGCTCTCACCTACCTAGTGTCTTGTTGGGGCCGAAAAACCCCCGATACAGAAATGCAACTGTGATGAGGGGTGGTCACAGCAGACCCCTGGGGGGAACTCCCGGGGTGCTCACACGGCCACTGCCACTCGCCTTCCCGCTCTCTGGGGCTCCTCCCCACCCAGTCCTGCTGGGCCAACTCCGCTCGTCTTCCCCGGCCGAGGCCCCAAGCTGAGATCCCTGCCCCTCCCCAAAACAGCACAGACACCAAACCACTTCAGGTCCGAGGTGAGGGCAGTTTAGGGCCCATCTCTCTGGGATACCGCTCCCCACATGGGATCAAACCCAAATGAATTACTTGAGTGAGCCCCCTTTGCCAATGGCCGGGGGAATGTGCCCATTGGTTGCCCCTCCTGGCAACAATTATTGACACTGGGCTTGATAGCAAATCAAAGTGATTTTATGAAGCACAGGCAGTCGGATTCGAGTGGGAACAAGCGAGAACAGGCCGAGCCAAGCAGGTTACAAACTCAAAAGTAACCAAAAACGCTTCGCTAATTTTGACACTAAAATCCTCAGCACAAACTTCTTATCAACTCGACCTCAGACTGTGTCTGTTCCAGCTGCACCCTCAAAAACAGCGTCATCCCCTCCCCTGGAGTCTCTGGTTCACCTTCCTCGGGTGTGTCCAGCCAGCCAAAGACAAAAGACTCCAAATTTCCTATTGTTTTTACAGATTCCCTTATTGGATGGGGAGTCACCGGTCCCGTCCCTACCGACCACGGCTAAGCCATAAGGACCAAAGGCTGTTTGCATAGGACCGCCCAGACACTGTGGCCCCACTTGATGGCTTTCCATTTATACATTTAAAAACCATAAAGTATCCCCCACTCCATGGGTCTGATTTCACACCCAAGAGGGATCCACACACCAAAATAAGAGAAACAGACCCAGCCAATCATGACATGAAGATGGACGGTCACATGCAATAATTTTCTCCAAGCACCTTTCAGTGAGGTGCGTTTATGTCCACACGTCCATTTTATAAAGCATGGGGAACGAAGGGCCCATCACAGCAACATTGTGCTGTTGACAAATTTGAGTATGGAGGGAAACAAAGGCTACATCTAGACTACGCGCCTTTTTTGAAAGAGGCGTCTAGACTACAATCAGTACTTTCGAAAAAGCAAACCGCATTTTCATCCAGGCAGTCTGGATGCTCTCTTTTGAAAAAGCACAGTTTTTCGAAAGAGCACTTTCGAAAAAAGGTGTTCTTCCTCCTAAAACGAGGCTTTCCGTGGTCAAAAAACCTGTCGCATTCTTTCGATTTATTTTCGAAAGAACACGGCAACGGTCTTGACGCAGGGGAAGTTTTTTCGAAAAACCCCTGTCATCTAGACACACCCAAAACGAATCTCTACATCAACTAGAATGTGGAATTAAATATTTCCGTTGAGTCTACCTGGATTAAACACATCCCTTCTAATGAAAATCACCCCCGACATCTCCCTGCTGGCTTAATGTTTAGTGCTCTGTTTGCAAACCAATATTTATTTCCATCCTCCTAAGTGGACCAGGCTTTCTTAGGTCAGGTCATGCAAATCTGTGATCTTTCTTTAGGACAATGATGGTCATAGAAATGACTCCTAGAAACGTCAGGCTGGAAGGGACCTCGAAGAGTCAACTCGTCCAGCCCCCTGCCGTGAGGCAGGATAAGTCACCATCATTTTTATAACAGCCTTTAAAACAAGGGTTCTCAACCTGGGGATCAGGACCCTCAAGGGGTCAGGAGGTTACTACGAGGAGGGTCCCGATCTGTCAACCTCCACCCCAAACCTTGTTTTTCTGTCCTCTTGGTAGCAGCCTTCAACTCCTTGATGGGGGGCTCCAAAATTCCCCCTCACTCTTCTCTGCTGCAGACTAAATAAGCCCAAATCCCTCAGCCTCTCCAGCCCCCGAACCACATCCAGCTCTCCACATCTCTCTGAGCAGGGGAAATCGCCCGCCTCTCTCATTTAGGAAAACCCATCTCTCAGCTCCCATCTTGCCACCCAGCTTTATTGGCCGAGCCAGGTCCCTTCCAAGGT